AATAACAGACTCAAGTTACAGAAAGTCAGCTTCCCGCTAGGTATCAGGAAACTTTCCTGGATGTTAGAGTAGTATGATAATGTAACCATTTACCCAGGGAGGTTGTGGGCTCTCCCACTCTAGAGGCATTCAAGATGTAACTGGACAGTCATCTGAGAGTATAATGATTTAAAGCATTATGAGTGTGTCCCTTTAAATGTTAAAAGGGGGTAGAGCAAGTGGGGTATAAAAGAGGGAGATGAGTAAGTGAGGTGATTGGTTGGTACATGAGCAGAGAAATATACTATCCGTCTGTCAGCATTTAACAGTTGTGTTCACTCAGCCATCTGCAGAATCTTAAGAGGCAGCCTTCTCATTAGAATGCCACATAGTGCTGTGAAAGGCATTTAAGATTCAAAAGGAAAGGAAAGGAAATACTTAGAAGACATATTAGCAACTTAGGGAGGGTCACAACCTAATATTGTCAACTTTTATAAGGGTGTGAGAGACAGAAGCTGACAGAAACCTGAGTGCAGAAGGGAAAGAGTAAACTGAGATAAATAGAATAAAGATTGATCAAAGTACATTCAAAAGAGAAAAGAAGAACTGAGAGTAAGGGGTGTTTGTGGGCAAAAAGAGTGCAATACCTCAGTCAGAAGTTAATATGCACTGTTTTGTTTACTAAAAAAATCAGTTATAGAACTTCTTGTACAAATAAAGTTTTACTTTGTTTACTGTTAACTCAGAGTCATAGGCTGTTTGAATACCTGTGTCTCATCCTCAGGACCACATAAGGAGTATTATTGCTAGGGCACAGTATCATAGGAAAAGTTAAACAAATAAGATCGGAATTAAAATTGGTGGCAGCATTACAGAGAAAGAGAGGGAGAAAGCAAGAAAATTAAAGACACACTATTTCCAAACAAATTATAGGAAAGTAAACAGAGGGATGGTTTAACTCAGTGTCCTGTACTGAGCAAAGGGTTGAACCCAATGGTCTTCTAGCCCCTTCCAATTCTACTATTTTATGATTAAGAGATTTCTCTCCTGTCCCAAAGCACACCAACTTGTTCTATGGCAGAACCTCTGCATGTCTGCCACGTAACCTTTGCAGTACAGATGTATACAGAATAAACTCTGTAGAGAACCTATTTATTTACTTACTAGATTTAGATCCCACTTTTTTCTTTTTTAAAGAACTCAAAACAGCTTATATCATTATCCTCCTCCTGTTTGCAATCTTATCCCCACAACAACCATGAGAGGTAGGTTCGGTTGAGAGACTGTGACTGGCTGAAAGTCATCTAGTTTGGCTCTATGGCTGAACGAGTATTGGAATCCAAAGCACCCGAGTCTCAGATCCAAGCACTTAACCACCATACCACACTGGGTCTCTCTCACATGCTTGGCTCATAAGACACAGCTCAGAAATTTTAGACCTCACTACACCACCATTCATCCAAAACACCACCCAATATTCTAGCGTATCTGCTCATTATAGGGAAATTATAGAATTATAGCACAGTGGAGTTGGAAGGTGCCAGTAAGGTCATCAGGTCCAACACCCTGCTCAATGAAGGATTACAAGTTAAAGCATCTCTAACAGATGACTGTCTAGCTGCATCTTGAATGCCTCCAGTGTGGGAGAGACCACAACCTCCCTAGATAATTGGTTCCATTTTTGTATAGTTCTAAAAGCCAGGAAGCTCTTCTTGACATTCAGCCAGAAACTGGCTTCCTGTAACTTGAGCACATTATTCTGTGTCCTTCTGTATGATAATCGTTTAAGTACTTAAAGAGTACTACCATATCTTCCCTTAGTCTTCTCTTCTCAAGGCCCAATTCTTCCAGTGCCTTCTCATGAGTTTTGTTTCCACTCCCCTGATCATCTTTGTCGCCTCCCTCCGAACCTTTTTCAGTTTGTCTGCATCTTTCTTAAAATTGGCCTTTGGTTGCCCAGAAGTGGATGCAGGACTCAAGATGAGGCCTAACATTAATGAAGCCAAAGTAGCATTTGCCTTTTTTGCAGATGCATCACAATGTTGACTCATATTCAATGAATAGTTTTAAGATCTTCTTGCTTGTAGTATTGTTGAGCCAACTACTCCCCATATTGTAATTATGTTTTCAGTTTCTTTGTCCTAGGTGCAGAATTTGGCATTTGTCCCCATTAAATTTCTTTTTTGATTTTATCCCAGTGCTCCAACCTATCAAAATGATACCCATTTTGAAATCTTTTTGTCTTCTGAGGTATTAGGTATTGCACCCAATTTTGTGCCACCTGAAAGTCTAATAAGCATTCTCTGAACCCCCTCATCTAATCTAAATCTACAAAAATGATGAAGAGCATGAGCATGGGGGCCAGGACTAAACTCTAATGTACCCCATTCATTACCTCTCTCCAGTTTGACACAGTGCCACAGATAAGCACTCTTTGAGTCCAATATTATGGCTAACCATGGATCCACCTAATAGTTTTTCCATCTAGCCCACTTTGAGCTAAATTTGCTAATCAAGATATCATGAGACACTTTGTCAAAGTAACCAGAGATATGAGGTAGAAAATATTCCAGTACTTTTATTTTTCCCACATACATGTTTACATTTCAAAGATTCACTAATAATAAAGGGGCTAAATTTATTTATCTTCATTTTTATATACTGCCCCATTCCCAAAGGCTCTGTGTGGTTTACATTACATTAAATGCAAAAATGTATTAGACAAGCTTGGTAGTTGTTTGTTTTTCTTACATTTAAACAATTGAAACAGCATAGCAGAGACAATTTTGTTGCGTATAGTCGTGGTCATATTTCTCCTCACCACAGGCAACCAATGGCCAATTTATAGATATGATTCAACAGAACTTTCTTCCCAGTAAGTTTTAACAAATTTAGAGTGCAATCATTTGCATATTAAGACAGTCCTACAACTGTCAGCATTCTGGCTGGGGAAAGCTGGGGGTTATAGGGCAATTTTCCTGTCTAAACATACAGAGTTGTGCCCTTAACTAATTAATCCAGCCTGACTAATGTGCTTGTAGTTTCTTTTGAAATCAGAGTGCATAGGTCCTAAAGATCATGTTTCTACTGTGCATTTATTGGATGAAAAGGCTACCAGCAACAAGAAATAATGATCCCATGCAGCCTGATTCTAAAGCAAAGCAAGGCCCAACACAGCTTATTCTCATAGGATGCAGTATATTGTGGTATTAAGTATTTCTAGATAGTACAACAGAGCAATAATAAATTCTTTAAAAATCAATAATCAGTGAAGAGATATACCATTAAACTGCAAATATGCTCATACCACTGCCTTTAACCCCCCATTCATATTTTAAAATAGCTACCTTAAGATTGACCTACATCTAATTATGAATTAAGGCATGAGAAATTTAGATTTTAATAGAATGAAGTCTTAATACAGCACTGAAAAGAAAAAACTAAGTGATATCTGTATTTTCATCTTTTTCTAAACAGGATGTTGGAAACAGTATATGTTTAAGCGAAACACTAACTTCAGAACAAATAAGGGTGCAATCCTATGCAAGTTTAGACTGAAAAAGTCCCCAGATTGGAATTATAGGTCTTTTTTCTGTCTAAACATGTGTAGTATTGTGCCCTAAGAAAGGAGCTCATGAGAAGAATCCAGAATCTCCAAACATGCACCTGTCATAAATGTCTTAGGACCATTCCTCACAATACTACAAGTATTTTCAGCTGTAGCTATCAATTGCAAAAATCTTCAACCAATCTTACTAGCTCAGTGTACATTAATGTGTTCAATGGGGCACATACATGTACCTCTTATGACACAAACTGTTTTACACATACTTATACAGCAGTGTTATAGATGTATTCTTTCTTGCATTGCAATGGATTTGACAGGAATACGTCCCTTTTATATTACTTAATTCAACTGCTTTCATAACTATGGCTACAGTGGAAACCCCTCCATGCAACCTACAACTGACAATTTCCACACAATAACCTATGGCTATGGAAGGATATCATGTGACTTATCATTACAGAAGAAATGGTATCAAGTTTAGGAATACCTCACTTGAGGTGGGAAAAGCCAAAAGGAGGCAGTTGAAAAGAGTTGGATTTTACACATTATAAAATATAATTATATAAATATATATAAAAAGTATTTTCAAGTAGTCACAATATGTATCATACTTTACCTAGTTGCAATCCTCAAGTTGTAAGTCAAGTCAGTGCTAATTATGCCCGTACTGGAAAGAGAGGCTTGCCTAGAGACACTTAAAAGGCTTGCAGCAGAAGGGAGATATAAACTTCGTGATCCATGGATCAATTCTCTTAATCACTACAGCACACTAAATCAACTTTACAAAACCGCTTGGGGAAGGGGACCTGGCACTAAACAGCTGCCCACTGAGCTGTAGAACCACTTCCGTTGGGAAACGTTCAATCAGATGATGAGAATGCTTACATATTACAACGCTGATTAATTAGCACGATCCTTAAACAAGCCATTGGGATCGTGCTCTCCACCCCTGGTGGAGGCCTAGATGAGAAGTTTGCCGGACGGCCCCAGGGCGTTTTCAAACGCTCCGAACCCATAGGGGCGTCATCACCACTCCCACTTTTACTTCTACGAAGTGTTTAGCGTGGCTAAGAGATTCACAGCAAATGAGGCCAATGACAACCCCACCCAGTTATAAGACTTCGCTTCCGCCCAAATCGGTGCAGGCTTCGTCTCCTCCTCGTTTCCTCCCACCGCCGTAGGCATTCTGGTGGACAGGAACGGCGACTTTATACAAGCAAGAGCTCCAGAATTGCTGACGCCTAAGCATAGGCCTCACAAGCTCTTCGGAGCCAGGCCGCGGGCGGGGCCCTGTGCCGAGCACCTCCCCCTCCTGAGCACAGTCACTACCACGTCGGCGCAGCCAACACTGCGGAAATGGGGCAGCCGAGGCGGGGCGTTGCGCAGGCGGCTTCAAAGCGCAGGCCGTGCTCCCCGTTTCCACAGCATTAGTCTCCCCGGGGGGTCTCCTTACCTGTGTCCCCGATTATGATATATTTGAAGAGATACGCGTAGGCCATGTCCTTCCAATCTCTGCGGCCGCCGCCTCCTCCTTTTAGGCTACTCGCTCCTCACTGACACGGCGTTGTGCCCACCCCCCCGGCCCTCGGTGTCAGGGCTCGAGACTACGGAAGGTTCGAAACCGTTGGCGACCAACCACTCCTTCCAACTGCCTCCTTCCTCTTGACAGTTCTCGCCGACACCCTCCCACGCCGGCCTTTCGCGTCCGCGCAAGCGCCTTCCCTTTCGGTTCCCCTCTATTTCGCGGGGAGGGAGTCTTTAAAGGGGCTCAAGGCGTCCTGAGGCCCGCGACAGAGGCGGCTCGAGGGAGCAGAAACAATAACAGGCGCAAGGCTACCAAACGCTTCAGCAACGTCACGCAGCGTTCCTCGCCGACCCGGAAGTGCTCAACCCGGTGCTGCCTTGCTTTGGCATGTGGGGCGAGGGGAGGATCTCTGGGAGTGACGCTCAAGGACGGGTGCGCTAGCCGCTTGACTGCTCGCAATCTTAGGAAGGAGGCCGAAGTCTGGGCCGGCCGGTTTACTTCGAAAGAGAAGGGCTTGTACTTTCTTATCAGGGAGGGGTTGGCTTGTTTTACGGGCATGCCAGAGGCTCTTAACATAGCAGTCATGGCCTCGCACATCAGCCCTTTAAGTAAGTTGGACGAAGAGAACCCTCAAGCGCTCCAGTACAGCCTGTGTTCCCTTTGGCCATGTATGCTTCTTGTTCTGCCCGCACCAGTAGAGTAGGTCCATCCTGAACCCAGCTGTCTTTAAAAAACAGTGAGTGATTCAAGAAACCTTTGGTAATCAAGCATCGCATCAGAGGTTGTGGATAAGTAGTTGCTTTATATTCTGAAGCCGTTTTTCACAAATGAGTATTATCTGAGTTTGTATTTCATTCTGTCACAATGTAGCTAAATGCACATTCTTCCAAGTGGACATGCTGTATATATCCATTAAGGTAAACAAGTAAATAAAACTTAAAGGAAGTGGACGAACATAAAAATAGAATATGAGATTATGGAGCTGGACATACCTATTTAAAAAATAGAGAGTCAAAAATAGCCATTTGAACATGGGTGTAGGGAAACAGCAAATGCAGGAATTATTAGCAAATCAAGGAAGTGGTTTTGATGGCCTTCACCTCAAGATTCTTTCACACAGGATAGTCTTACAAGATGTAATGGAGAGGTTAGTATACCTCATCCAGGAGTAGACATGCCTTCTACAGTCAAATGATTAATAAGTGTAAGTAAAAACAGGAAAGGCTGCAACAACCAGCATTCCCAGCTATCATCTGAAGGGCACAAGTTAGGGAAGGCTGCATTGAAAAGATAATGACTGTAATGTTTCCCATGTTGCAGGATCATATCTAGATCCAAATAACAGGTGATTTTTGAATGCTAGGAGTGGGTTTCGTTAGGGGATTTTTCTTTTTTTTTTTTTTGTCCCCTGTATCATGAAATTATTTTCAACATCTTCAGCTGCATTTTCTTCTGTCTCATGAAAACTGGTTAGCTAACCTCTTGGTCAGTTATGATTCCCACATTCCAGCTCTTCCTTCTCTCCCAGTCCCTCTGCATCAACTGTCAAACTGTTTCCCTTACCTGGGTACCTCCCTTCCCTCATCCCCTGCTTTATCATACTGTGAGAAGTAGAAGATTACTGTGACTAACAAACTAGAACAGGTAAAGCTATGGATCACTTAGTGATTAATAAAGGTATTGTGATTAACGGACTAGAACTGGGTAAAGCTATACAGATCACTTTGTGATTAATAAGAGTATTGTGACCAACACAAACTAATAGACTACAAAATGTAATTGGCAGACATGGCATTAAACTTTTGTACTTGGAATCCAAGGTACGGCTGCGTAATAAGCTAATGCATATTAGTGGTGCCTCCTGCTATGACTCAGAGGGTTATTAACATGAACATGGGACATATGAGCAGGTGGGGGCAACATACCAAGGAGTAGTATGATGAAGGCGGACGGGAAGAATGTGAACTCCCAGTATCCCACCAATGGGAGAAAGGAGGCAGGGACTTTGCGTGTGAAGTAGGCAGTAAGAGGCTGTGTAAACTGCTCCCCAGTGCACTACCTTTGGGGTGAGTGCCCGGTCTGGCCAGAACGTATTAAACTGTTGCTGCTTGGTACTTAGCCTCCCGTATCGTCATTGCTTGGATTTCATTCCTAACAGTTGGGGGCTCGTCCGGGATAATGGCTCATCCTGGGTGAGTATTTCTCCAGCCTGCACCAGGGAGACGCGTCCTGCCGATTTCGGCGGCTTAGGTCAGGTGGAGGGACCTCCTAGGCGCGGCTCTATTTAAAATTTTGGACGAAATATGGGGGCAAAGAGAAGCAGCCGGGGAGGGGCTCTGTTGGTGGGACCAATGGATAGGCTCCAACGCTGCGGTCGCCAGGCAACTCTGTGCACGGACCAAGGTAAGAAGTGAGTGGGACTCCTAGTACTGCCTTGGTGGTGAACATGGGGGAGGAAACCTCTGGGGAAGGAGGGAGAACCCCCTGTGTGAGGTTTGAGAGAAAGTGATTGAGATGTACAAAGGAGTACGAAGTGAGTGCGGAGTCCAGATCCACGGTTCCTATCCTCCTTGAGGAGGACGGCCGGAGAAGGACAAAGTAGATGCATTGGTTGACTGACTGGAAGCCTCAGGAAAATTGAGAGAAACTAGCGAGTGTTAAGTCCACTAGGGACGAGAATAGGTTCTGCTCATGACCTACTAGGGACTAAGATCTGGAAGACAGGCATGGGATCTCCAGGATCCAAAGCCAAGTCTGAGGAGGGCAAGAACGGGGGCAAATTATCCCAAATTCCTCCCAACAGTCCCTTGGGACGGATGTTGAAACATTGGGAAGAACTTCCCTACACCCTTAGGGAAAAGATGATTAATTACTGTTGTTTTGTGTGGACAAAAGAAAGTATTCGACCCCCAGCAATATTCTGGCTCCGATTTGGGGCAGATGAGGGATGTTATGTTAGGCCCTAAACATTTATGTAAATAATAAGGACCCTTTCTCTCAAGAAGAATCTGACTATGCTGATTTTTGGTTACAAGCAGCCTCTGTAGGAATCTAGGTGGGGCACTTTAAACGGGAGTGCCCTGAGTGAGCTGAGAGGAAAGGAGAGGTTGATTTCTCTCATGAATATGGACAAAATTAGGAAGGTCAGGGGTCTCCTCATAGGAGGACCCACTGGGAACCTTTGATAAATTTGAAAGTGGGACCATTTGGGAAAGGCATGGCATTTATGGTAGGCTCTGGAGCTACCTACTCCACAATGAATATGATTCCAGATGGAATTAAATTGGGAAAAGGGGAATTGATAGCTCAAGGAGTGGGAGGTAATCTGGTAAAAGCAAAAATATTTGAACCTGCTCAGGTAAAATATGAACATGGTACAACCATTGTGTGGTGTGATTTTGTACTGGGGGAGGAAATTTGCAGGGAGAGCTCTCCTAGCTGGACTGAGATTTTTGGTAGAAGGTATTGGAGGGGAGGTAGAGACGAAGCCGAGGAGGACCGATACTGATTTATCTTTAAAACCACAGGCAGCTGGTGCTTGTGAGGCCTGGAAGGAAAACTGGAACACTTTGTGGAAAAAAAAGGGGGGGCATGATGCCTCTCCCTGCAAGAATTTATTGCATTGGACTCGAGAGTGAGCAGGCCATAACTTAAAAGCAAGAAAGCGCAGATGCCACTGTGACAGGTTGTGCCTGGGTTTGTGTTAATGTTTTTGTGTGCATTTAACAACCATTTGCCACCTCTGAGTTACGTAATTAGAAGAATCAGAATCCTAGTTTTTCCAGAGGATTCTAAAAAGGTGATAAGTTTGTTTCACAGCACTAATTGGACTAATGCCTGAAGGGCAGGCTGCATTTCAATAAAACAAAATTCCAGGAACTAGGTTTCAGGTTAAGTGTTAGAAGATAATCTCTGAGGGTCAGGAACCCCTAGAGAATGGGATGGATTTCATGGGAGGTGGTTGAGGCCCATCAGTGAAGCAGTTTGGACAACCACATGTTGTGGATTATAGGAACAGAGCTGGCTGAAACCGGGGGGGGGGGGGTCAGACAAGATGACCAGGGGAGTGCCCCTTTCTGACTCACTTTGTTTCTATGTTTTTACTCAACTTGGAATTATGTGCAAATGATGCTGCACATCTTCTCTTGAAGGGCTCAGGTGCCCTGTGGAAAAGAGTGCTAAAGGAAAGTTTATGAGGCTATGGTGAATAGGAGCATTTTTTTATTTACTACTGCAGTATTTACTGAGGAAGGGGAATCAAAGAGAGGGCTTGTATTAAAGGGATGGAGGAAACAGCCTGTGCAGCCACAGCCCTATTGGCTTAGAAAACCAGGAAGTTAGCTATTGGGGAAGCTTTGGTGGTAACAATGTCACCCCCAGTGCAAGCTCTGTTAACCTGTACTCAGAAAAACAATTCTTCCCATCTCACCTCACTGCCTTGCCATAAGCACATCAAAAGATGTCTCGGTGTCTAGTGGTGAAGACCAGATGACCCCACTCCATTAGTGGGGAATCTGTGTTTTATAGGCTTGCTAAAGTGCCTCTCTAATCCTGTACTTAACTTGGCCAGTCTGTTCAAGGTAACTTTAGTTTGGAAGGCCTGTCAAAGGCATCTAATTAGAGTGAAATGTAACTTTTCCTTAATGTGCTGTGACATGTATCCAATCACTTTCCTATTCTATATAACCCTAATGAAATTAGCATTGGGAGTTCCTTCTTAGGCACCCATGGATACAAAGTAATAAAAGGGAACCAGGTGAGAGATAGTGGGAGACTGTCCTCCTCCTGGTAAGTCCAAATTTGTGAATTACGGGCTCTGAAGTGAGCCCTGAAATTGCAGGAAGGAACTGGGAACGGAGAAGAATCTAGACTCTGGAAGATGGGTAATGTCTGATGGCTGAGAATGGCTATCTAAGGGACTAGCTAGGCAAATAATCCAGAGACTCCATGAAAGGAGCCTTTGGGGAGCTAAGGCTCTTGTAGATCAATTTCTAAAAACGGATGTGGCATTGGGATGTATTTGGGCTAGCAAATGCCTTTGGGAAAATTTGGCAGGAAAGGAGTTTGATCATGAGTAGAGGAAAAGTTTTGGTGCATGAGAAGTTGGTGCAAGTACTGTAAAAATTGGCAATTATTCATGTAAAGGGAGATCATTCTGGGATTAGTGATCAATCCTGAACTTGATCCCCTTGGTTGAAGTTCCTTTTTATAAGCCTTAAGTATGATGAGGCTGAAGTAGCAAGGATGAAGGAACTGGGATAAGTCAGACCCTAAAGCAGCGATTAAAGACAGGAATATCATCC